CTTTCTTTCTTTCTTTCTTTCTTTCTTTCTTTCTTTCTTTCTTTCTTCTTTCTTTCTTTCTTTCTTTCTTCTTTCTTTCTTTCTTTCTTTTTTCTCTGTTTCTTTCTCTCTTCTTTCTGTTTTTTCCTCCTCCACTGCTCCCCCTCCACACCAAGGTTGATCAAATTCTCTTCTGCAAGGCAGGTAGCCTTCACGCCATCCACTCTCCAGCTGCCCACCTGCTTCCCTGGGCGGGAGGCCATTGTTGGCTTTCAAGGCATGTTAAGAGTGCAGATGGAGTGGCAAGGGATATGAGGCAGTCCCCTAGACCAATACCTGGGAATACAGGTGGGCTTTGTAGGTGGGTGTGTTGTTGTTCTTTTTTTAATGCACACAAGTGTGTCACATGGGTTTTCAGATAAATTCAGATGACTTGCACAAGTTCCTTGCAGCCGACAGGTGTTTCCTGAATTTCAATTCAGGGAGTAGAAAGAACCTGCTGTTAGTTATACTCCTCCAGAAGAAAGGATCACAGCAAACCAGCTGGACATTTACAAATTCCTGTTGTTCTCTCGTGGGTTTTGTTTTTATCTCCTTGTTGCTATTGTTCAACAAAAGAGTCTTACTAACGCTTTACAATAAGGCCTTTATTATGCTGCTGCTTCAAAGCCTACTATATGCTGTATTGTCATTGCTGAAGGATTGGGAGTCAGCTGGGTGCTATTTACATTCCAGATTAGTTATACTTTTGAAAGCTATAAAGTCCTTACAGGGGAACACCGGATGGGAAGAACCACATGCTCGTTTAATGTGAATAACAGTGTTGTTAACTGGTTTGTGTATCACCCTGGTTTTGAAATAGATTGTGATGATGTCTGTAGAGCTTCAATTGCAGGCGCTCTTGAATTCCAAGAAGGGACATTTCAAAATTCAATCAGAGATTTAGCCACAATGGATCCTTTTTCTGCTTCTCTACTTGGCTAATTTTAACCTTGAAATGTTGGGCGGGATATAGGGAATCCTTGTTTAGCGAACTGCCTTGTACACTGACTGTTTGCAACTTCTTAGATCCTATGCAAACTCTTCTGAGTTATGCTGCATCTATAGGGCATGGCCACATAAATTAGAATTGAGTAGAGTAGATTAGAGTATAGAGTAGAGTTTATAGAATAACAGAGTTGGAAGGGACCTTGGAGGTCTTATAGTCCAACCCCCTTCTCAGGCAAAAAACCCTATATCACTTCAGACAATCTCTTCTTTAAAACCTCCAGTGACGGAGCACCCATAACTTCTGATGGCAAACTGTTCGACTGATTAATTGTTCTATCAGGAAATTTCTCCTTAGTTCTAAGTTGCTTCTCTCCTTGATTAGTTTAGAATAGAATAGAATAGAATAGAATAGAATAGAATAGAATAGAATAGAATAGAATAGAATTATGGAAGAGAAGAGAAGAAAGAGTAGAGTAATATAGAATAGAATAGAATAGAATAGAATAGAATAGAATAGAATAGAATAGAATAGAATAGAATAGAATAGAAATCATGCAGTTTCTTTTAGAATTACAATAGAGGAGTAGTGTTTTGCAATGCATTGCAGACTTGAAAATAAAATACCTAGGAATACATTTACCACTCTCTTTAATTCTTACTCTTTGTTTTGACCTTATTAAAGGGGAGCAACCTGAGGAAAATACTTCTCAACCGCTATTTTAAAGGAGACTATGGAGGGAACATCAACGGTCCACTGTCTGGCAGCTATGGCAAACCCCTGCAAAGTGGAGGTAAACAGGGTTTAAAACATCTGGAGGTAGAACAGCTCTTTGGGTTTTTCCCCCTAGTGTAGTTCATGGGAATATATTTGTGGGAACTGTCGTTTGGTCTAGTGGTTAAGGCATCAGACTAGAAAGCAGGAGACAGGGAATTCTAGTCCTGCCTTAGGCATGAAAGCCAGCTGGGTGATCTTGGGCCAATCACCAGGAGACAGGGATCTGATAGGATAGGACAGGACAGGAGGAGAGGAGAGGAGAGGAGAGGAGAGGAGAGGAGAGGAAAGGTAAGGAAAAGACGAGAGGAGAGGAGAGGAGAGGAGAGGAGAGAAGAGAAGAGAAGAGAAGAGAAGAGAAGAGAAGAGAAGAGAAGAGAAGAGAAGAGAAGAGAAGAGAAGAAGATGAGAGGAGAGGAGAGAAGAAGAAGAGAGGAGAGAAGAGGAGAGAAGAGAAGAGAAGAGAAGAGAAGAGAAGAGAAGAAGAGAGAAGAGAAGAGGAGGAGAGGAGAGGAAAACAGAGGAGAGGAGAAGAAAGGAGAGAAGAGAAGAGAAGACAACAAGAGGAAAGAAGAGAAGAGAAGAAGAGGAGAGAAGAGAAAGAGAAGAGGGGATGGGATGGGATGGGACGGAATAACAAGACAAGACATTACAATTTAAGAAATAAGAGGAGAGGAAATGAGACAATCCTTAACTGAAATGTTAATGCCCCAATTGTCAATTAAACCGATTAATTTCAGGCACCTTCTCAGGACAAGATGTGGACAAGTCTGGGGCATCCATGCATGACATTCAGTGTCTCTTGGACAAAGAAGGGGCTTCAGAACTGGTCACCGATGTCATCGTTAGCACCAAAAACGACCGGATCTTCTCGGAGGCCATCTTGCTTGGCATTGCGTTGCTGGAAGGAGGAAATACCCAAATCCAGGTGCATTTTGGTACCTTAATATTTTCCAGCCAATTTTAACCCTCGAATTTCCTAAGGCAAAGAAGGAAACAGGAACAGGGTTGAGAACAATAAGGAAAATAACTAAAAATATTATAGCCGGTATCGTAATGGCATTTTATATAAAAAGAACTGTTGTGGCCAGCTTTTGTAAGTATGTAGTGTGTGATTTGTGGATGTCATGCCCCTGTTGGAATCTGATTCCAAGGGGGAGGCTGAGCAGCTGACAGGGAGTGGGAGTGTGGCTCCGTTGGCTGTGGAAGAAACGGGGAAGGACAAAGTCTGGCTGGGCAGAGCAGGGGTGAGGTAGAACAAGGGAGAGGGAATTTAGAGGAAGACCCAGGCCCACCCACTCTTCATCCTAGGGCATGCAGGGAGGAACAGAGAAGGGAGCAATGAGAGTTGTGTGGCTTATGGGGGATGAAAGGGCCCTGATTCCCTTCATTAGCCACACCTGGGAACACAGTGTTTAAAAAGGGAAGCTGCGCGCAGCAAGCTGTTGGGAGCAAATTGTGAATTATCATCACGTGATCCCATTTTGCGATATGCAGAGTCCATGGGAAAGCCAGATTCACTTAAGAACCGCATGACTCACTTAAGAACTGCTGGGATTCCTTTAACAATGGTGGCAAGAAAAGTTGTAAAGCGCAGCAAAGCTCACTGAACCACCGTCTCGCTTAGCAACATCCATTTTGGGCTCGATTGTGGTCATAAGTCGAGGACACACCTTATTGTGATGTCACAATAAGGTCGGAGGTTTTAGGGGTGCCTCGCATCTGAACTACTTCACAAAAATTGATACCCGAATGATTAGGATTTAAATTTGGAAGAAAAAGCAGGGAATTTGATCAAATACCAGGTTACGTACGAGTACAAATTGTGAATTAGCAATTTTAATGTGTCAAAAATCCATTGTCTTTCTGGAGCCCTGTAGAAATAAACCCCTACTTTGTTTTCTGTTGTATTTTTTCCCCCTCTTTAGTATTCCTTTTATCAACAATTAAACGAGCGGAAAAAGTCCGAAAAGTTTTTTAAAGTTTTGTACGATCGGATGAAAACGGCCCAACTGGAAATTCGCTCCACGGTGACGGTGAACACGATTGATCTGAGCAGCAAAAAGAAAGATGAGGAAAGCGACGTGACTGTGTCAGCTCCAAAGAAGAGAGGTAAAGGGGGGGGGAAAGGGGGGGGATATTTCTTGCCATAAGCTGGTTTCAGGGCAGTTAGAAGAAAAACAGATTTTGGTAAAAAAAACAAAACAAAAAAAACAAAAAACAGGAATAAGAGCACTTGTGATTTAGCGTGGCCTGGACTGATATATATGTATATATACTACCTGAGTATAAAAATCTAATTAATAAATAAAGGTTTTCCTAAATCACTATTGTACTTCTTAGGACTTCAAGATAGCCTATGGTAAAATGAAATACATCGAAGTACAATTCTACTGTTATAGAATTCATTCATTCGTTTGTTCATTCGTTCATTCATTCGTTCATTTGTTGATTAATTCGTTCATTAATTCATTCATTAATTCGTTCATTCATTTGTTCATTCATCCGTTCATTCGTTTGTTCATTTGTTCATTCATTCCTTCATTCATTCCTTCATTTGTTCATTCATTCATTCTTTTGTTCATTTACTCTCTCTCTCTCTCTTTTTGTAACCTTTATTGAAAAATTAAAACATTAAAATACAAAATACAATACAAATATTTAAAATGAGGGTGTTATGCATGTTACAATCCATTTTGACAGTGCTTACATTTCAATTGTTATTCCAGGTGCGTATTTTATACTCCTATTTGTTCGTGTGTGTGTGTGTGTGTCCGTGTCCGTGTCCTATCTTTCTAAATTATACATTCCTTATTTATTTAATTGCTTAATTCTATCATTTATCTAATGGCACAATTTTCCCATACTTTATAGTAAACTGAGTCATCCTTCTCTTTTAATTCTAATGAAAGTTTGTCCATTTCTGCGCAGTCGAAGATCTTTTGGATAATTAAACTATCTGTCAGCATAGAATCTCCTTTCCAATGTTATGCAAGTGCTAATCTTGTTGCTGTTATTATATGCAGGATTAAATATTTTATCTCTTTTGTATAATTCCAGTATGGCAGCCTTCTCATACACATGACTCTAAGCAGCCAACAGTTTAAAATAAATAGGAACAAAACAAAATACAATCGGTAATTAAAAACAGAAACAACTCAATTTATTCCTTTATCATTTTGATTATGATGTAATTAATTTGTCTGCAGGTAGTCCTCATCCACAATCAAGCCCCAAATTTATGTTGCTAAGTGAGATATTTGTTGAGTGACTTTTCCCCCACTTTATGACTTCTCTTGCCACCATTGTTAAGTGAATCATTGCAGATGTTAAGTTAGTCACACAACTGTTAAGAGAATTTGGCTTCCCCATCAACTTTGCTGGTCAGCAGGTCACAAAAGGGGATCACAGGACGCTGCGACCATCATAAATAGGAGTCAGCTGCCAAGCATCTATATTTTGATCATGCAACCATGGTCGTAAGTGTGAAAGAAGGTCACGTCATATTTTTCATTGCCATTGTAACTTTGAATGAACCAAATGAATTGTTGTAAGTTAAGGACTATACAGGGGTGCAATTCTACTGGTTTGGACCGGTTTGGGTGAACCGAACGTTAAGTTTTCATCTGGTTCGCCAAACTGGTATTTCAACCGACCAGCTGGCCCCACCCATCCCTCCCCTCCCAGGAGTCTCCACGTGGCCCATTTTTGATGTAGGTAAGTGTCATAGCCTTATTGGAGTCTGATTCTGAGGGGGAGATTGAGCAGCTGACAAGGAGCGGGAGTGTGGCTCCGGTGGCTGTGGAAGAAACGGGGAAACGGCACAGTCCAGCTGGGCATTCAGAGGAAAACCCAAGCCCACCCCCTCTTTATCCTAGGGCACCCAGGGAGGAACGGAGAAGGGAGCAACGTGGCTTATGAGAGAGAAGAAGGCCCTGATCCCTTTCATTAGTTGCAGCTGGGAGAACAGCATATAAGTGGTGGAAGCAAAGCGTGCATTATCTTTGTTGAGGCTTATCTGGGCATCCTTATTTGGCATCCTCCCAACTGTGGTTGCTGTGTTATCTTGTGGAAGTCCGCAATTTATCATCCTGGCCTGCCGTGTTAATTACTTCAGTGTGGTTTGTGTTGGTTTTTTTTAAATTTTTAATTATCTTTACTTTGGGTTCAGACTGCATTTCTTTCCTTTGTAGACTGTTTTTGGAAGAGTTTGATCTCCACCCGAGGATAATTGGACATTGGGGGCCAGGTTGGAGGCATTAAAGGGAATTTATTCTACTTTCATGACTTTGTTATTTTTGTGTCACGCCCGGAGTCATCACAGTAAGTGCAGGTTCTGCGCGGAAGCTCTGGAAGGGGGAAAAACAGACCTTCTGGAAGTCCAGAAATGGGCCTGTTTCCAGCTTCCGGAGGACTTCCAGAGCTCAGGGGAAGCTGTTTTCACCCTCCCAGGGGCCCAAGGGAAGCCCCTGGGGAAGGCAAAAAAATGGCCCTCCCAGAAGTTCTGGTAGGCCATGCCCACCATGGCCATGCCCACCCAGCAACTGGGCAGCGAACCGGTTGCTGGGATTCTTTTAATTCCACCCCTGGGACCACCTCTATTTATTTGGTTGTTATTATTAGGAATAATAAATAAGAATTGTTCTGGAACTTTCCTGGAATAAACGCTCTCTGTGTGAAGCCCATTTTTTTAACTGTTGTTGGAGCCAAGTTGTTGGAGCCATGATGGATGTCATACGGCCGCGGTCAGGCACCAGGGTTGAGCAGTGAATTTGATTTGATCACAAAAGGTTTACTGAAGCATGAAAGTTGCATTTACCTGTCATAACCTCAAGCAGCACTTACTTCTCCCAGGATTGATGGGTCCAGAGATTGTGCCACCAACAATAGTTTTCAGACTGCGTAAAGCCAAGTATTTGTGAGGCGCAAAGACAGGCTCCAACTGCTTAACAGGCTCCAACTGTTAAGTTCCAGTTCAGATGATTTATTGCTCAGGCTTTGTTGTGGTTCGCCGGCAGCAGGTGTGGACGACTGAGGTCTTGGAGAGGGAGGGCTCAGATAAGGAGCTTGTGTGTGATGCAGGGATGGGGCCAGGGCCATCAGGGAGTGGAATGCTGCTTTTGGAGATTGTGGAGGCTGGCAGCAATGATGAAGAGGCCCCCGAGGAGCCCGTGCCCAGCGTGCATGCGCACGGGCCTGCTTGAAGGAAAGAGCAGCTGCAGCAGCACGGGCGACTCAGGAGTAAGGCTGCAAGGTAATGGCCCCTCTCTGAGGAGATAAAAGCCAGCTGAGAAACTGCAGTTTTTTGCAGAAGGCAAAGAAGTTTTACACTCGAGTCTGGTGGACATTAGAAATATCTGAGTTGGTGTTTGGAGACTCTTTGTGTTGGAATTATTGCTTAGTAACATTATCTGGTATTCTCGGCAGCCTTGCCAAACCTTGAAAGACTCTTTCTTATCGGAGCTAATTGGTCTGAAGCAGCCTTTTACCCGTGAAGGAACGGAATTCATAAAGAATCATTAAAAGTTTGTGCTGTTACCTTTGTCTTGTGTTTGTTTCCTTGGAACCAGGGTCAGAACAGGCTTACATACAAGGATCTAGTCAGCTAAGGGTCAGCACTGAATGGTGGCTTGATAAGAGCCAATGGAATTCAAGAGGGGTTGAACTTAGACCGTTTGTGGGAATGTAATGATTCTAGGCTGATTGCTCTCTTGACTCCACCTCCACTGTCTACCTTTCCTTCTACAGTATATGAAGTACACATTCATGTGTCCCAAAGGTGCTTTTTTTCAAGAGGCAACTGGACTTTCTTGTTTTTCCTTTTGGTAAGATGTTTTGCTTCTCATCCAAGAAACTTCTTCAGCTCTGGCAGGATACTGGGGAAAAGAAGGATTTATATTCCTTGCAGACAGCTGGTCATTTGCATCCATTTAGAGGGTCATTGAGGCCACTTGGAGGTTTATCTTTATCCTCAGGGCCATCTGAGTAGTGCAAATGGTTCCTGTACTATGCAATTTTTCCTCTGGAAATCCATTCTTACTCCCGCACCATTCAAAGGGTGTTCATCCCAAATTGTACAGCTAAAAGGCCGTAGTGGTTCTCAGTCCTCCAGGTGGAAGGATTTATGTGACCCTGTGATCCTGAGAACATAGAAAAACCTCCAAGTGTTTCAATGTTAATTTAATCTACCCTCAATCTAACCTAAATCACCAGGAATCACAATGGACTCAAAGGATGGACAGAGAAAACCCCATCATGCTCCTTACGGGGCAGATTGAATGGCAATCATGTTGCTTTTCGCTTCTCTACAGTTAGAGATTCCAACCTCTACCTGAAGGAAAGCATGAAAGGACAACTGGCGGAAGCCTCCACTGCAACGTCCAAAGCTTACTGTGTGTACCGCAGAGAGATGGACCCAGAAACAGACCTCATGGGTCCAGGATCAGAGGCGGGATGTGCAGATGAAAAATCGTCTGAAGAAATGACCATGAGTCCAGCCATTGTGATCATGCAACCCATTTTGAGGTTTCTCCAATTGTTATGTGAGAATCACAATCGAGAACTTCAGGTAGAGTATTATTGTGGTGTATTTTAGAATTAAAGCTAACATTATCCTTGTGTTCTGACCCAGGTTTCATAAACCGTAATTACGCACACACTTATTTTAAAAACAAGTCTTGTTTTATTGCAATGCTGGGAATTATTTTCATTCCCAGCTGGTAATGAATCTCAAAAAGTCCCTCGAGATAAGCACCCACCTTTCTTCCCTGTGAAGTGCTGCCAATAACAAAGTGTCAAAAGTGTCAAATGAACTAGAAAAGAAACCAACCAAAGTACAAAGAGCTTCAAGAATGAATCTGAACCAAATGAATGACTTTGCTTCCTGAAAAGGTATCATCATCTTGGCCTGACTTTTATCCCTTATGAGAGGGGCAATCACCTCCCAGCCTTACTCTCAAGTCGCCCCTTTTGTTTCAACTGCTCTCGCCTTCTAGCAGCTCTGCGCACACACGCACTGGGAACAGGCTCCCCTTGTTCCTCTGCCTCGCTGCTGCCAGATTCCGGAGGCTCTGGAGTCAGCACACCACTCCCAGATGGTCCTGGCCCCATCTCTGCATTGGATGCAGGACCCTTGTCTGAGTCCTCTCCAGACTCCCAGACTGGTCCCCGTTCTTCCCCACTGTCCGATTCGGCTGCCAGCTGCACCGGCTGCCGGCGAACCACAACACCTTGGTTGTATCAATGGAGGCATAGAATCAAAATGACGTGAAGTGTTATCACCACTTTATACAGTCTTAGTAAGGCCACACCTGGAATACAGCATCTAGTTTTGGTCCTCACATTACCAAAAAGATGTTGGCGTCAACTTGTAAAGCATTCCTGGCCTGCTCTCAAGTTGCCACAGGTGGGGCGGGGGAGGAGGACTGATGGAGCAGCTTGGTTGCTGTGACCAGAAGCACATTCCACGCATACCTTTCTCCAGATTGTGTCTCAGGCTACTAGAGCCAGCTGGAGAGGTGTGTTTTGTACAGCCTGAGAAAGTGCTTCAGTTGGAGAATGTGATTTATGACATACTCTGGGAGGAGGGGAGAAACAGGGTCATAAGTGGGCAGTAAATTACATGGGGCAGAGCCGACTGCACTTGGGAAAAGTAGTGCTGACATGTTGCTCCTAATAAATAGTTGGATTTCTTTTGAAACTTGGCTTGAGGCTCATGAATTAATTAGGGCATCCGTCGGAACCCTGACAGTTGAGTTCAAACTGAGTTAAAAGTATGATACATCCACTCAGAATTGTAATAATAGTGAAGTCTTTCAACCCGTGGCTTAGCATTACCTCCAATTTGAACCCTTGTCTGCTTTTCATCGGTTTGTACAAGGGTTTGTTTTCTCTTCTTTTTCCAGAACTTTTTAAGAAACCAGAACAACAAGAGCAACTACAACCTAGTTTGCGAGACACTTCAGTTTTTGGATTGTATTTGCGGAAGTACCACTGGCGGGCTAGGCCTTCTGGGCCTATACATCAAAGAAAAAAATGTAGCTTTGGTAAATCAAACCCTTGAAAGTTTGACTGAGTACTGCCAAGGACCCTGCCATGAAAATCAGGTAGGTTTACCTCCTCGGGAAAAATCTGAACTGAATGTGAATAATAACCTGTGGTTGAAAACTTAGACTTTCTATTATGGAAATTGTGGTCAATGTGGTAATTCTTCTATTGCTCGTTTAGAGCCCCAATACTTGCATATGTTTTTAGAACAAGGGTTGGGGTCTGGATTCAGTCCAGGGATGAGATCTATTCCCTCCCTCCTCCCATATGTTCCAGTGCAAGGATCTTCAAACTTGGCAAGTTTAAGACTTGTGGACTTCAATTCCCAGAATTCCTGAGTTAACATGACTGGAGGAGGATTTCTGGGAGTTGAAGTCCACAAGTCTTAAAGCTGTCAAGTTTGAAGACCCCCTGTTCCAGTGGATTGGATGTTAATCATGGCTTGTGTGGTCCTTAGAACTCTCTGAGCTTGGTTGCTTCCTGAAGACGTTTCATTACCCAACTACGCAACATCATCAGTGCTGGAACAGTGTGTGTTCTATACCATCCAACCACCATCTAACTACTCAGACAAACAACCAAATAGCAATCTCAAGGGTGCTTTTTCCATAGGCAACTGGGCTTCCTTTGTTTTTCCTTGAAGTTGTTTCGCTTCTCATCCAAGAAGCTTCTTCGGTTCTCAGTCAGAACTGAAGCAACTTGGATTTCTGAGAATCTCCATGGACAAACAAATAGTGAACAGCCTAACCAAGGTTCCCGAAAGAAGAAAACAACACTCCCACAAACTGTGATGACCCAAAGGGGCGTGGCACGAAAGCAACAAAGTCACAAAAGTAGGTAAAGTCCCTTTAATGCCTCCAACTTGGCCCCCAATGTCCAGTTATCCTCGGCTGGAGAAAGAACAATTTGTAAAGGGAAGAAATTCAGTCCGAATCCACAGTACATCTAAATGATAAATGAAAACCAACACAAACCACACTGCAGCAACCAACGAGACAGGGCAGGATAAGGAATTGCAGACTTCAAAAGATAATGAAACACACACATTTGGGAGAATGCCAGAACCCAGATAAGACTTGAGAAACAAAGATAATTCACGATTTGCTTACAGCAAGGTGCTGTGCACAAATGCCCTTTTTAAAGCACTGTTTTCCCAGCTGCAGCTAATGAAGGGAATCAGGGCCCTTTTTCCCCTGTAACCTCCGTAACTCATGTTGCTCCCTTCTCTGTTCCTCCCTGCGTGCCCTAGGATGAAGAGGAGGTGGGCCTGGGTCTTCCTCTGAATGCCAGCTGGACAGTGCCCTTCCCCAGTTTCTTCCACAGCCACCAGAGCCACACTCCCACTTCCTGTCAGCTGCTCGACCCTCCTCTCGGAATCAGATTCCAACAGGGGCATGACACTGAAAGGATTGGAATATAAACAGAGAGCAAACCCTCCTCCCTTCTAGCACTGATGATGTTACCTAGTTGGGTAATGAAACGTCTGCAAGAAAGTAACCCAGCTCACAGAGCACCAAGGACCTCATGGTTCAACCCTGAGCCGCCAATATTCTCTTCTGTTTCATATCATGGGTTTAAGGTCCCTGCCTCCTTTGCCAAAAATTTATACCTGTCCATCATTGGAGATTCTCAATCATCCAGGTCATGGCTGTCCCAAAGGTGCTTTTCAAAAACTGTATTTGGTTTTTGCATGACCTTTTGAGGAAAATGAGGATTTGTTACTGGTTCAGTCCAGTGGTGGGATTCAAAACTTTTTACTACCAGTTCTGTGAGCATGGCTAGGTGGGTACGGCCATGTGACAGGGTGGGCGGGGCTTCTTCTTCTTTTTTTTTTTTTTTTTGCTGTTTTGCAGCCGCCACCCCCAGCCATTTTTTGGGCCTCCTTTTGTCGGGAGGGGAAAAAAAGAAATACCTTATGAGGCGAGCGTCAGGTGGGTGGGGTGAGAGAGCATTGGGTGGGCAGGGCAAATGAGCCAGTGGCGACCTGGCAACCAGGTCAGGGGCGTGGCCAGCCAGAACTTATTATCGGTTTGGCGATCCATGCCAAATCCTTGCTACTGGTTCATGTGAACCGGTGCGAACCAGCTGAATACCACTGGTTCAGGCCCTCCATTGTGTACTTTTCCCCCTTGGAAAGTTGTACAGTGGTTGCAGTGGTGCAATACACAGAGTATTTTGTCTATCCTTGTCTATGTTTTCCCTGGTAGAAGCATGCATGGCATGACAAATGAATCGACAGGACCTTCTCGTGGATTTGCTGATCCACACAAAATCCTTTAGGCCATTATTCATCTTTCAAAGAACGAGGAAGAGAAAGGACACAATCTCTCAAGGGATGTGTTGTTATCTTAAATGTCTTCCTTTCTTTGCCTTTTGTAGACTTGTATAGCCACCCATGAATCCAATGGCATCGACATCATCATTGCGCTGATCCTAAATGATATCAATCCCCTTGGAAAATATCGGATGGACCTAGTGCTACAGTTGAAGGTATGGAATTCTACCCCGTGAACATTATCCCCGTCGCCTTAACTTCACTGGGTTCCCATTGTTGCTCTTAAGAGATGGAAGAAGGACGGGATAATCTCATCCATGGTCAGGAGAAGAGGTGCAGAGCCCTCGCCTGTTCCTGGGAGAGTAAGATCAGCTGCCCTAATTTCTACTGTGCTGGTCCTAAAGACATGATCCGAATGTATATTCCATATACCAATAAAAAGGATATTCGAATGAATGAAGGCAAATATACGTGTCCTGGATAATGTTGTAGGATCCAATTTGGGTTGGTTACCAGGTTGTCTTCTGAGCTTTTAGACTCGTGCTGGAACCCATGTGAGAACTTCTCACTTGATACAATCTGGTAGTGAGAAGATCCCCGAGGACGGGCTCCAGCACGAGTCTAACAGCTCAGTGTCAGGGTTCTGACTGACACCCTAATTAAATCATGAGCCTCAAGCCAAGCATCGAAAGAAATCCAGTTATTTATTAGGAGCTTCATGTTGGCGTGGGCCAAGTGGAGCCAACTCTGACCTCAGTTAATTCACGCTTTGCCTCTGACCCTGTTTCACCCTCCCTCCCAGATGTGTCATCAGTCACATTCCCCAACGAAGCAATTTCATGGGTTGTAGAGGTCACTCCCTCTGGCCACGGTGGGTTTCTGTGGAGATGAACTTGAGGCATCAGTTGGAATGTGCTTTGTTTTGACTGAGATGCAAGCTTTTTGATGCAGCTACAAAGTTTGCTTCCCCATCCCCCCCTTGCCTATGGCAACTCAAGAGCAGGTCAGGGATGCTTTGCAAGTTGACACTCGGAAGACTAAACTTCTAGTCCTGGGGACCAACCTGGATTGGATCCAGTAAAAATATTTGTAGTTCAGGGTTGAAATGAGGGATCCTTGGTGCTCTCGGAACTTGGTGGTTTTCTTTCAAATGTTTGCCATGCAAAACGTAGGCACCAAACCGGCAGTAACACCAGTTGAATCCCACTACTGCAGACACCACCATTGTAAAAGAAACAGTGGCTAAATCAACGCACGGTATGGAAAGAGCTACATGGAAAGGCTCTCTTTACTGACATCTGGTACTTATAAATATGTAATTTATTTTTAATTAGTTCTGTGATTGTGGTGATCAGGCCATGATGTCACGCATAAAACAAGACAAAACAGAATCCATAAAAAGATTCAAGGCCTTCAAAAAAAACAAAAAACCTTGTCTTCACCAAAAGGAAACCTGCTGTCAGGACTCTGGCATGCACCCCCATTCAAATTATAAGTCTCTAAGCCACATCTCTCAATGAAAAAACGGTTGATTTATTAGGAGTTGACATGTCGGCGTTTCCTGGTTTCAGCCAACTCTGACACATCATTCATTTCACCCTTGACCCTGGTCTTCCTCCACCCCCTGGATGTATATTCTCCAATGGGACACACCCATAGCCAAGAGTCATCAATCATGCTCTCCAGTAATAGTTTTGCATGCCAGAAGCTTCAGTTGCCAAAGTGATTATCTGAAGCCTTTAAGGAATGCACTGCTTTCGCTGGCAACTAAAAAGACCAAAGAAGTATTTTTTTAGTTGACATTCAGCTCCCCTCACTTCAACTGCAACTTCAGTTAAAGCAGCGCTAAGGCTCATTGGTCCATGAAATAGATTTTAACAACCTCTTAATTGGCTTTTTGATACCTTTCAGAATAATGCCTCGAAGCTTTTGCTGGCTATCATGGAAAGCAGGCATGACAGCGAAAATGCAGAACGAGTCCTTTTCAACATGAGACCAAAAGAGCTGGTGAGTTATCTTTTTTTGGCAGTTTTATAATTGAAAATAGCAAAAAAAAAAAAAGAGTTTTTGAGCTAGCAAACTGATTTTGACCCCCATAAGGACTAGAATACAGGGAATCCTCAATTTACGACCATAATTGAGCCCCAAATTTATTATTGCTAAGTGAGACATTGGTTAAGTGACTTTTGCCTCATTTTATGACCTCTCTTGCCACCGTTGTTAAGTGAATCCCTGCAGCAGTTAAGTTAATAACCCGGTTGTGAAGTTGCCAAAAGGGGAATGCGAGTCAGCTGCCAACTGTCTGAATTTTGATCACGTGATCACATGGGGGATGCTGCAATGGTTATAAGTGTGAAAAACGGTCATAAGTCACATTTTTTCAGGGCCATCGTAGCTTTGAAATGTTCATCAAACAACCTGTTGTAAGCAGGGGTGGGACTCAAAAATCCCAGCAACCAGTTTGCTGCCCAATTGCTGGGTGGGCGTGGCCTACCGGAACTTCCTGTTTCCAGCTTCCGGTAGGCCTCCAGAGCTGCAGGGGAATCCATTTTTCGCCCTCCCAAGAATCCGTAGGCCTTCCCCGGGCCTCTGGGAGGGTGAAAATGGCCTCCCCGGGGCTCTGGAGGCCCACCGGAAGTCAGAAACAGGCCCATTTCCGGACTTCCAGAAGGCCCTTTTCCCCCCTTCCAGAGCCTCCATGTGGACCCTGCACTTACCTCCATCAAAAATGGGGCGCATGGAGACTCCTGGGGGGGCGGGATGGGGTGTGCAGGACCAGCCGGTCGGTTGAAATTGGTTCTGCAAACTGGATGTAATTTTAACATCCGGTTCTCCCGAACCGGTCTGAACCAATAGAATCCCACCCCTGGTTGTAAGTTAAAAACCACCTATATAATTGTTTAAGTTATTTGAAACACAAAGAGGAATAACAGAGTTTGAAAGGGACTTTGGAGGTCTTCTAGTCCAACCCCCTGCTCAGGCAGGAAACCCTAATGGCTGTTCAATCTCTTCTTGAAAACCTCCAGTGTCAGAGCACCCACAACTTCTGGTGGCAAGCTGTTCCACGGGTTAATTGCTCTCAATATCAGGAAATTTCTCCTTAGTTCCAGGTTGCTTGTCTGCTTGGTTGGTTTCCATCCATTGCTTCTTGTCCTGCCTTCACCCACGGTGAACAGATTAAAAAAATATGGTGGGATATAAAAAGATTATTTAATTGAGATTGGAGAAAAGTATTAAGACTATGCAGATGGTGTTACGTGAAACCAAACAGAGCTAAGAGCTCATTCAATTTAACAATCAAGGACATTTTCCTTCGAGGTGGACGTCATGAAGAATGCGTACAACCAGGGCCTTGATAGTGACCAAGAAGAGGAGAATGGAGATGAGGATATCTCACCAAAAGATGTTGGGCATAATATCTACATATTAGCTCACCAGGTATGTTGTTATCAAATATAGGAACTGCCCACCTCACTCAAGAGTGGCCATCAAAAAATACTAGATTGGAATTGTTAACATGAATGAATGAATGAATCAATCAATCAATGAATCAATCAATTCATTCATTAATGAATAAATGAATTCTTTATTGGCCAAGTGTGATTAACCTTTGGTGCATAAGCTTTCAGTTTACATAAAAAGAAAAGATACATTTGTCAAGAATCATAAGGTACAACACTTAATATAGTCATAGGGTACAAATAGGCAATCAAACGTTGTTAGATTATAATCCTCTTAAATTTACTAGTAAAGTTTACAATGATGACAAATTAAAATCAAATGCTTATAAAAAAGCCCAAGGAGATTATATAAATCGTGTTTAAACATGGCGATAATTAATTCCCAATCAGGCTAAATTGCTGCCTCTAAACCAGGAGTGGAATGCAAATATTTTTACTACCAGTTCTGTGGGCATGGCTAGGTGGGCGTGGCTAGGTGGGCATGGCCATGTGACTGGGTGGTCGTGGCTGCTTTCTCTTTTTTTTGCATTACCCCTCCACCCCGTGGTCCTTTTTTTTTTTTGCCTTGTGGGCCTCAGGAAAGCCTCTTGGACGAAGCAGTAAAATAGCGAGGGGGATCCCAGCACAGCTGATCATCGGAACAGCTGATCATTGGGGGAAAAAAGGAATACCAGTTTGGCCAAACTGGTAGCTGTTCTTTTACTACCGGTTCACTCGAACCAGGCTGAACCGGTAGAATACCATCAGTGCTCTAAATAGCCAATGGTCAGAATTGAACCCTTAATCCTGTCCAAGCTATTTTTTTTCCAGACCTAGCGCAAAGCCCATCTAAATCAAGTTAAAACGTTTTGTTGTAACCTAAATAAATCTTAACATTTCCAGGTCTGTGCATTTTTAGACAGAATGAAGGAAACAAATATTGGGCCACTGGTCACAACTTTTGATCTTGAAAAAAAGTAGAATTATACACCTTTCCTAAGTAAGCTTTGTTATTGATACATGTCAAAAACTGCTTCCTTAAGTGATTTTTTTATCTCCGTCGTATTTCTTTTTCTGCTTCTTGCTCTTCAGTTCTTCACAACCCATGTCCTGCCATCCTGGAACGTATCTCGGTAGCCACATATCAATAAATCTCTCACTTTTGATGTGTTTTCTGGAACAGACTCACTCCAATTAGCTAAAGTCTGTGGGTCTTCAAATCTTACCCTAGTGAATATAATTTAGCTTGGGGTTTTTTTAATTAAGGGAAATTAATAGAGGGTACTTGGTTTCCAATCTCTTCACTGATTAGAGGAAGCTAAAAATAAAAAAAACAGACCCAAGTTCTTCTTTTTAGTCTTATGTGGGCTGACAATTTATTTTAGAGGCACCCAGACTTTCAATTTCAACAGCTGTTTAAAAGGCAGTACCCATTTGTACATTTTTTTCAGTGCAACATCCTTTCCTGTCATTACTTGTTGTTGAGCTTACCAGAAGCAGAAGAAATCACAGATTTTTCCATGCTTTGAAAGATAGGTCCCAAGCTAGTATGGAAAATAAGACATAAAACATAGAGTAACAGGGTTGGAAGGGATCTTGGAGGTCCTCTAGTCTAACCCCCTGCTCAAGCAAGAGATCCTAGACCATTTCAGACAAATGGTTGTCCAATCTCTTCTTAAAAGTGTCCAGTGTTGGAGCATAATTCGCAACTTCTCGAGGCAAGCTGTCCCACTGATTAATTTGTTCTAACTGTCAGGTAATTTCTCCTTAGTTCTAAGTTGCTTCTCTCCTTGATGAGTTTCCACCCATAGCTTCTTGTCCTCCCCTCAGGTGCTTTGGAGAGTAGCTTGACTCCCTCTTCTTTGGGGCAGCCCCTGAGATATTGGAGCACTGGTCTCATGTCATCCTTAGTCCTTCTTTTCACTAGACTAGACTTACCCAGTTCCTGCAACCATTCTTCATATGTTTTTAGTCTCCAGTCCCCTAATCATCTTGGTTGCTCTTCTCTGCACTCTTTCCATCTTTTTTTATGATGTGGTGGGTGACCAAAACTGGACACAATATTCCAGGTGTGGTCTTAAAAATAAAATAAGAGGGTAAAACAAGAGGGAGTTGAATTAGCTGGCCAGATACATTGCAAATTAAAGTGTTGTGTAGATGTTGCCTTCAATGGAATAGAATAGAATTCTTTATTGGCCATGTGTGATTGGACACACAAGGAATTTGTCTTGGTGCAAATGCTCTCAGTGTATATAAAAGAAAAGATACATTTGTCAAGAGTCAAAAATCATCAGGTACAACACTTAATGATAGTCATAGGATACAATAAGCAATCAAATCATACTAGGAAACAGTCAATATAAATTGTAAGGATACAAGCGACAAAGTTACAGTCATATAGTTACAAGTCGGAGAGGATGGGCAATGAGTGATGAGAAGATTAATAGTAATCGTAATGCAGACTATCAATAAAGCCCTTTGGGAAAAATATCTCTGCAACTTGGGATATGTTTCTAAGAAAATGCCTTTCTCCATTAAGGAACAATGAATTTACACACATTGTAGAAAGGACTCTTAAGAACAGGTGGGAAATGTTTAAAAACAACACAGGAGACCTTCTTGAAGCAAAGGTTGGTAGCTTGGCCACTCTTTGCCAAAAGCCACTTTTCTTAGTAATTACTTGTATGTAAATCTGTTTAATGGTCTGATGAAACCTTGCCTCCGCCTGAGTTAAAATTAGCTACTGTGGTTTGAAAACCAGGGTTGGGGCTTCATTGGAAACCAACATCTGCTTGAATGACTCGCCTTGAACATCTCGTGTGCTTCCACCTTCGTTTGCACTGATTAAATTCTTGACATCTTTCATGGCTCACGAGGCCTGTCACTTGTCATAATCTGACAGTTATCCTCTGGAGGAGACAAGATAATGGGGTTTAGGGTGACAGCTGCTAATTGAACATCAGACAAAATTGGAAGGAGCGGTTTGGCTTGGCTTGCCAGCGCTGACAGGGGTGGCCAGAAATACTTCATTAACCACCTCGTAGCTGGTGAAAAGGGCGATATAGATTCCCACTCAGCCACTGCTGATCTCGTGAGCGGGATGAAGCAAGGATCCCTCAAACACGAGCTCGGGAATGATTAAGGAATGGAGTCTTTTGCATGGGGCGAAAAGGTGGGGGGAAAGGAGCTAAAAGATAGTTTGGAGACACAGAAGCAATAAAAAAGCCACTCCTCAAATGCAGCAGCTGCTAGAATTCCTAAGTTGCAGCTTCCCAAACTTCCTATGATAGATAGATAAAGAAAGAAAGATAGAGATAGATAGAGATAGAGAGATAGATGGATACAGAAAGAAAGAACAGGGAGAGAGAGAAAGATACAGATAGAAAGGTAGATAGGGAGAGAGATGATAGAAAGGTAGATAGATAGAAAGACAGATAGAGATAAAGAAAGATAGATTAGATAGATATAGATATAGATAAAAAGGTAGATAGATAGATACAGAAAGAGAAAGAAACACAGACAGACAGACAGACAGACAGACAGACAGATATAGAGATAGATATAGACATAGATATAGAGATAGGTAGGTAGATACAGATAGAAAGGTAGATAGAGAAAGAAAGATAGATAGATTAGCTAGATATACAGTAGATAGAAAGGTAGATAGATAGATACAGAAAGAGATAGATAGATAGATAGATAGATAGATAGATAGATAGATAGATAGA